GTACCTTAAGGTAATGCCTGTCCTTGAAGGTGAGATGGGTTTCTTGCAGACAGCAAAGAGATGAATTTTGTTTCTTAATCCTTTCGCTTAGCCTGTGTCTTTTGACTGGGGAGTTTAGTCCATTGATATTTAAGGTTATTATTGCAAGGTTTGTATTGGTTGCCATCATTTTGATTGCTGTTTGTATTCTCTGTGTAATTTTATGTTTCTTAGATTATATCTTTATTTTCTTTCATTGCCCCTAGGGTATAGTCGTTTCTCTCTCTGCTCTCTGTATTGCTTCAAGTATTCTTTGAAGGGTTGTTTTATGGACATATATTCTCTTTGCTGGGTATAATATTCTGGGCTGGCATCTATTGTCGTGTAGAACTGGAAATACCTTGGTCCAGGCTCTTCTGGCTTTCATAGTTTGCATTGATAATTCATCTGTAATTCTGATGGGCTTTCCTTTGTATGTGTATTGTTTTTCTTTTGCTTCTTTCAGTATTCTGTCTTTGTTCTGTACATTTAGTATTTTTTCTGTGCTATGTTGTGGGGAGTTTCTTTTCTGTTCCTGTCTATTTGGTGTTCTGTGTGCTTCCTGTATTTGTATGGGGATGTCTTTCCTTAATTTCGGGAAATTCTCTTCTACAATCCTCTTTTAGATCCGGTCAACACCGTTAATCTGAAATTCTACTCCTCCCTCTGTTCCTATGATCTGTAGATTTCGTCTTTTCATGGTGTCCCACATCTTTCGCATATTCCATTCCTGTGTTTTAAATAATTTTTCCGTACTCTTTTCTTGCGTGGTCCAGTTCTTCAACTTTATCCTCTAGTGTTGATATTCTGTTTTCCACCTCATTCATTCTAGAGGTGAGGCTTTCCCCTGTTGTTTCAAGTTGGCTTATTGAGTTTTGCACTTCCTTCTTCATTTCTGCCTGAATTTTCTTCAACGTTTCTGTTTTGTGAATTCATTCAGAAGTTTATCCCTATCTTCTTTTAGCTCTTTGTTTGTTTGTGTGTTCTTTAAATTCATTGACTTCTTTGATCATGTTTATGATTGATCTTTTAAATTCATTTTCCTGGGTTATCTCTTGGGGGTTCTCCTTGTTAGAACTCTTCTGTAGGAATGATAGTCTTTGGTGGGGACATAGTGTTTTGTCTTTCCATTTTATTATTCTTTTATTCTGGTTTTGGCATGTGAATTTCTTTTGTTGTTTATGATTCTGATATGAGAATTAAGTTGAAGTATGCTTCTGTTTGTATTATCGGGGTGCCTAGATCCTTTCTTCATTGGTTATATAAAGCTGTTGGTACAGGGTTCAGGTTCTCTCAGGTTTAATTTGGAGGGAACTGATGGCTTCAGATCAGCTATTCAGGGGTACCCACAGAAGCCCAATTCAGGTTCCAGTCAGGTACACTCAGGCTTCCTTCACCACGTGGAGGCAGGGTCCAGGCTCTCTCAGGTTGTCCCCTGTGTTCTCAAGCCTATGCCAGAGGGAGGCCAGAGGGGGCCAGAACTCTGTACTCTCTGGAGGTCTGCTGAGCTCGCATCCTACCAAAGCAAGATCTGCCCTGGGGCCTCACAAACTCCCAGGTAGAGGGATGGTATGGTTCAATCAGGCGAAGCTCTCCACCATGTGGAGGAAGGATGTGGGGGCTGTCAGGTTGTCCCCTGGGTTCTCAGGCCCTCTGGTGCAGTCTGCTGAGTTCTGAGCAGCTACCCGGATGGAGGTCTGAACCCACCCTCTCAGGCTGTCTGCTAGGATCTCAGCCTTAGCCTCAGTTTGCTTCATAATTAATGTTAAAAGACAATTTACTTCATAATTAATGTTAACGAGTCACATTAAAATGGTATTAGATGTTAATACAGTTGAATGAAGTGCATGTTCTACTTGAACTGGTGAGAGTGTAGATAGATCTCAAAGCAAAGGAACAACTGGCAATTAGGTAACTCCTCAGAATCCAGTAGAGAACTCTAAATATTTGGCTAACTGCCACATTTACAGACTCAGGAGAGACCCTTAGAGAATCCTTAAAAAGCACTGTTTAAAAGTCTGAGAACAAAACAGATGATGCATCTCCATATCATGGATTAGTTTGCATTTGAATCTGGGCTATGTAAATGTCTATTAGAATATGAACTCAACAATCCTTAGAAAATGGGACAGACTCTAGTGTTTGTATAGTATCACAGTGCCACATGTCTATAAAAAGAAGAGACATTGTAGATAGCATGATGTATAAGCTGTACCTAAGACAAAGATAGTTTGTTAGAAATTGCCTCTTAGCCCAGATTGATAGTTCGCAGACTTCAGCTATATCAAGAAATAAAGAAAATTGTGTTGAAGATATTAAAGGAAAATAGGGTACTGATGTGTAACAGGTAATTTCATCAGAACAATGAGGAGTTTATGAAAAAATAAGAAAGAAAAGAAAAAAATTTTAAATACCAGGACATCCTAGAAATAAAAAGCGTAATTACTGACCTAAATTTGCTAGATGGCTTCAAAAACAATGGCAGGAGAAAATAATAGGAAACTTGAAGAGTCAGTCCAAGTAGGTCTGTTCAAATACCTGAAAGAAAAATGATTGAGGGAAAAGGAACAGAACCTGTGAGACTGAGTCCAGGTGCACACAGTCCTATTCATCCAGGTAAAGTGGCATAAAAATGTTTGAAGAATATTTACTGAAAACTTAGCAAATTTAGTGAATAAATTAATTTATAGATCTAATAAAATTATGGAAGCCCCAAAAATATTACAAAGAACCATGTCTAAATGTTTCATGGCCCAACTATGAAGATAAACAGATTTTTTAAAAGTAATCAGAGGAAAACACTTCAAGGAAAACAACTGACAATATTTGTACTGGTGTTCATCGATACGATATTTTGTTTATAATGGTTGAAGCTTCCCAGTACGTACAAGGCTTTTAAAATGAATTCAGAACTTACAAGAATGACTTAAAAAAAAAAAAAAAGATCATGTAATATAAGGAAATGTGCTAATATCTGGAAATCCACATGAGGAGAATGTATATCCTGCTTCTCCCTAGACTTTTCGAAGTAACCAATGCTTGGTCTGATGATAGATCCATTCAAAGTACAAAGTGAGGCAATAGATTTTAATGTAGAAGTATAAAACGTCCATTGTGTGCTTTTAGACCACATGCTGCATTTACTTGTTAAGAAACTTTTTTAACGGATGGGGATTTGTTAGGGCATTAAAAAAGAATAACTGCAGTAATCTGAAAAGGGCTAGAAAGTAACTCTTCCCTATCCCAATGACCTGTCTGTGGGAGGCCAGATTTTCTTTTTACACTTCAGATACAGAAACATATTACAGCAGATTGACCTGTAGAGCATGTATAAGGATTCAGCTGTTCTTTTAAAAAGTCGGCCTTTAGTGACATGCAAAAGTATAAGACAATGTTTTTTGGGCTGTAAAAAATACAGCATTTTGTAAAAATATGTTTTAACACATAGTGAGTTTATGACTCAATAAATAACTTAATTTCTAATATAGCATGCTAGTGTAGATTTTTTTCACATTAACAAGAGCTCTTTGGAATCCTCATTTCTTTTTTAAGTATAAAGATGTTCTGAGACCAAAAGCTTTGAGAACTTAGAGTTTGCTCTGGCCCCATCTTCAGACAGCCTATTCCTTTGAGAGCAGCAGACTGGAAAGTTGTAAATATCTTGTAGCTCAGTAGATTAGTGTTCATGAGTATATGATGACATGTTTTATCGATGCCTTTATTTTACAGTAAGTAATAATTGTCAGCCATAGTTGTGCTGCCTGTTGCTTCTTAGGGTGATTTTCAGTCCTTCCCTTCTGGTGGTTGTTCCAGACCTTTTATTGTTACCAGGGACCTTTCTCAAGAACATGTTAGGGACTTCTACCTTGGTAACTAATCCATACTTTATTTATTCCTTCCTCATTTTGTTATGCTTAAGAATTATCGAGAGAGCCATTCAAAATTGTAAGGAGAACTTTTGCACACACTTTACAGTTGTTTATTATGCTGTTCTGAATTGTGATTTTTATTTCTGGGAGGCCATTGATTACTTGAATAAAAAATATCATTGAGGTTTGTCATACCTTGTCTGAAGAAGAATGATAAAAGATAGTAACAGAGAGAAATTTACCCAAACTTTGAAATTATGGTACCATTTATGATCTTTTGTTGAATTCGTGTAGTAGCATTTGAGTTCATCTACCAGGTAGCAAAACTAATCTTCCAGAAATAAATTTGGTACAAATAATGTTCATAACATGAATGCATACTAAGTTTACTATTGTATTACTTGGTTCTTTGACAAAAGTAAATGAGAGAGAGAGAGAGAGAGAGAGAGAGAGAGAGAGAGAGAGAGAGAGAGAGAGTGACATCCTCTCACCATCTATTCTCCTTACATGAAGCTAGACAGAACCCTACTTCTTCCATACACACCTTCCCACATGGTACTACTCTTCCCATTTTCCACCCCCCTCTTTTCCCATGCTTTGTGACTTTGTTCCTGTTTTTAAATTTAGATGATTCTTTTTCTATAAAGAAGGTTTTCCATGTCTAATTACATTTTAAAGTTTAGACATTTGTAGTCATAAAAATGAGATAAATGTTACTATATTCTTATTTCCAGTCTTTGCTGTGTTAAACTATTATTTTGATAGTTTTGAAACGTGTGTTTGGGAGCAGGAGGGATAAAATAACTATTTTATTTCTTTGATAATTGAGTTACATGGAAATAATAAAACTCAGTTTCCCCCTATCTTGAATGAAAGGAATTCAGCAGAGATTTATTTTCTGGCTGATAATTTTACTGTATTTTGAAATGTTACATATTTCTTTGTCTTTGAAAATGTTGACATTCTTAAAGTCTTGTATAGAGGCTTCACTGTTAAAAAAAAAAGTCTTTTATTTTGAGAATGTCAGATGCATATCCTATTTGTGTCTGTAAAAAAAACTTGATTATTCATCAGCTGACTTCTTATATCATGATTTTCCTTGTATTTTCTTAGGTCAAAGAGGAAGAGGAAGCCTTTCTGGATTGGAGTGATGAAGATGATGATGGCTTTGATCCAAGCACACTTCCAGATCCTGATAAGTACAGAAGCTCTGAGGAATCTGAGAGTGAAGATCCACAGAATAAGATGAGGTGTGTTACTACCTGGACTCATTAATTACATACTTTACATGTGCAAGTCACCTTTTAAGGAATCCAAAGATATTACTAAAAACACTTTCAAAAGTTATTTTTTAACCTTTAATATCCTGTAAAATCTTATTACTGCTTGTCAATTTTTTGCCTGTTGGTCATTCTGCAAATATCTCATGTTCTTCTGATCATTTGAAGAACTTTCATTAACATCATTTCTATAATCCCTTGTATCAGGTATAATATATGAATTCTCTTTCCTCTTTTTCCTCCTCCTCTTTATTTTGGGTGCTGCAGTATACCTGTAATCCAACATTTGGGAGGCTGAGACAGCAGGATCACTATAAGCTCAAGGCCATCCTGGGCTAGACAGTTTCAAGATAGCCTGGGCTATGTAGTGAGATATTGTCTCAAAAACCAAAACCAAGGCAGGTGAGATGGCTTAGTTAGTACTTAAAACCAAACCTGAAGACCTGAGTTCAATCCTTGGGACCTAAATGCTGGAAAGAGAAAACTGACTGCAGTAAGTGGTTATCTTGACTCTTTACTTTTAGTTTATTAAGTATATAGCAAGTCAAAATAAAAGAATAAATAGCAAGAGATAGATACATAGAAGATCGGATGATAGAGATGATAGATTAGATAGATGATTGATTGATAGATAGATAGATAGATAGATAGATGTAGCAAACAAAAGTAAAAGCAGCAACTAGCAGATAGAAGCAGTTGATAGATAGCAAAACATCATCAAATCAGGGACTCAAAACATTCAGTATGATAGATTGATAGATAGATAGATAGATAGATAGATAGATAGATAGATAGATAGATAGATAGCAAAACATCATCAAATCAGGGCCTCAAAACATCCAGTATAAATGGATTGGGAAGCTCCCTTGAGGCAGCCAGCTGGAGTTCTTGATAGAGAAGAGTGACCCCTCTGGGGGGACTTCCAAGTGATATTTGTTCCAAGAATAAATAGCAACAGATTGAGGTAGCATCATCAAATCTGGTGCCAACAACCTCCAGCAGAAAATAGCTGAGGAAGTTGAAGCAGTCCGCTGGAGTTCCTGATTGAGCTTTCTTTCCATGGCTGAGCTTTCTGTGGATGGACTTCCAGGGCTTCTCTTTCCCACTAAAGGCATTTTTTCAAATTATGGGGTAGACAGTAGTAACCTTTGTTGGAAATAGTTCACCTTCTTGCTGTTCTCAAGAGCACATTGTTTTTACTCAGGCTTTTTTGCTGTTCTCTTCCTTTCCTGTCATAGAGTGGGGAGGGGCAGCCCATACCCAGACATGCGGGACAACTGACATAAACTTACTTGGGTCTGAAGTGGGGGATCCAAACATGCTTCCAGAGGCAGCTTCTCAATGAGTTCAAATAGCACATGACAGTTACCAATATAATATATACATTACAGACCTCCACAGGTGAGCAATGGCATACATACATCCCTAATATAAATAAATAATGTAATTTTTTAAGGTCTTTGAATTTTAAAAGGGGAAGTTATAATTTAAAACCTGTTTATTTGTCTATTCTCTATATGCCACTATGCCAAAATTAAGTGAAATGTAGTAAATTGACTTAGTAAATGTGGCTTATTCAGCAGGTTTTTTTTTTTCTTTCTTTCTTCAAAAGCTCTGCATATTAAATCATATTATGACTGTGGGACTGGAGAGATGGTTCACAGGTTAAAAGCACTTACTGGCTGTTCTTTCAGAGGACCTGAGTTCAGTTCCTAGCCACCCACATGGTAGCTAACAACTATCTGAAACTCCAGTTTCAGGGTGTATTAGTCACTTTTCTGTTGCTGTGATAGAAACACTGACCTAAGCAATTTATAGAAGGAAGAATTTATTTGAGCTTATGGTTCCAGGGGAATTACAGTCCGTCATGGCAGGGAGGCATGGTGGCTGCATGTGGCTGGAGCAGGAGCAGCAGAAGCTAAGCTCTCATATCATCACACAGGCACAGGAAGCAAGAGAGCAACTGGAGATCTGGCAAGGCTTAAGAATTCTCTAAGCCCACCCCCAGTGACGTGCTTCCTCCAGGATAGCCACACCTTCTAAAACCTCCCAATACAGCACCATCATCTGGGGACAAAATATCCAAATACTTGGAGCCTATGGGGGACATTTTCATTCAAACCATCACATGCAGGATCCAACACCTTCCATGGGCTTTGCACACATGGGTACATACATACAGGCCAAACACTCATAGACATGATGATAGATAGATAGATAGATAGATAGATAGATAGATAGATAGATAGATAGATAGAGTCAGTCAGCCAGTCAGTCAGTCAGTCATAATGGTTGTATAGATTTTTAAAAGTTGAAAATGTTTAAACTTCATGGACTTCTAAACCACAGAGCAAAGGTTAGATAGTAGTGACAAAGTTAATATTCTTGAAGGGAAGATAGAAATTGGTAGGACCTCTCATTGGTCGGACCTCTCAGGTACTATCCCATAGAGTTTAGAGTGAGAGAAATGTGCATAGAGAGCTATAATTTATTTTTAAACAAGAACAGGATTATGAAGAGACCTCAAAAGCTTATCCTGTTGGAAAGACAGTGCTCTAGGGGAAGATACTGAGTAATAGTCTTCATTCAAACTGTGTATTTGGTAATGGGGGAAATTCCCTTATTCAAACTGTAGTGATGCCAGAAACTTTAAGAACTTGCTGTTGGGCAATTGGTAGTAAATATGTTGGGCTAGCTTTATAGTATTTTCAGATGTTAAGTAGCGTATAAACCTCACTAGTGTAAACACCATGAGTGAGTAATTTTATTAAGATTTATAAAAATACATAAATGTTTGTGCCATTAGAGTTAAGTGATTTAGGTTCAGGCCATATTCGTAATATTTAGAAGTGGCCTCTAAAAGTAAATATACATACTCTGCTTCAGAGAGTTCTTTGGTGCTCAAGTTGGAGACTAGATGAACTGAGTGGTGCAATTTGCTGCCCTAATGGTCTTCTGAAAGCCTCCCTCTTACAGAGTGGTTGATGGGATCTCTATTTTGATTGATTTGATATGACTTAGAACATGTTTCTGTGTAATTGGACTATGGAAGAACATCATTGGCTCTTGTAGTTTATTCTGCAGCAATATTTTGTAGCCATTGCCAGGATGTCTGCTAGTAATCCCTCTGCATCTGATTCATATGAACTTTTTCCCCAAGTTTGTTTTTGTTACCGCAAAAGGCACTGTGGGTTAAAAATAATTTTATTAGTATTTTTAAAAATATGTAAATGTTTGTGCTTTTAGAGTTAAGTGATGTAGATCCGGTTTCTGAGTCATCCTTCAAATAGACATTCTATTCATATTTCTATCATTGTTACCTTCATAGTGGCATTTCCTACTATAGCTAATGTATTCTCCTCTAATAGCCTCATCTTTTATCCTCTTACTTAGTCGGCAAATGTTTCTTAGCTAGCAAGTCCATCTTTCCATGTTTCTTTATATGAACTCATGTAGCTCCAGCTTCTGTTCCCACTCCCAGTACTAATGCCATAGACACTAAGGAGGTCCTTAAATAGTCAAATTATTAATTGACAGTGGAAGTATAAGAGTCTATGTGATTGGTCCTAAGGGTTTGAATAAAGTAAAAAACAACAGAATATATATGATTAGCAGAAGCCAGGAGCATATAGTGTAATGTTATGAACAAGGAGGTAGGGTACCTTGAGAGGTGCTAAAGCATTTTAATGTAAGATGGCAGTTCAAATGAAAGATAGTTAAGTATTGCATGAAAATTAAGATACTTTAATTTCAGGGACAGCTAGTGAACTCTGCATTGGCAAATTAAAATTGATCAACTTATCTCAAGGTAAGAAATATTGTTTGTTGAAGAGAGTAACAACACGGTTTTATTGCTAATAGGAGGATTTCATTCCTGTTTAATTTTTTTGTGTGAACACAGGTGATGTAGTCTAGCTCTCTCTTCTTACAGATGAACCAAAGCCTTAAGAGATGAAATAATTAATGCCTATGATCACAGAAAATTACTATAAATTAAACTGATTCTGTAGTTCTAGTACTCCAGTCATGTTACATACAATTGCTGTGACCCTAGGAGAGCTGGGTCAAAAAAATACCTGAAGCCAGGCGTGGTGGCAAACGCCTTTAATCCCAGCACTTGGAGGCAGAGGCAGGTGGATCTTTGTGAGTTCAAGGCCAGCCTGGTCTACATAGTGAGTTCCAGGACAGCTGGGGCTACAGGGAGACCCTGTTTCAAAAAGACCAAAAAACCCCCCAAAATACCTGAACACAAATTTGATGAATTAATTTGACTGAAGCCACATGACCAGATCCACATATTAACTATAGGGTAGAGTTAACTTCCTTTAGGATTATTGAGATTCTGGTCCAGGTAATGCTGTGTTTGGACCAGTGGAGGGCTACAGGCTTCTAACATCATCCCTAGCCACCAATAACAGCAGATTCCCCTCGTCCCCACCCTTTGAGCTGAGATAACCAAAAATATCTTTAGATACTGCCCCTTGAGGGTTGAGGGGGAATTTCCCATGGTTCAAACCACTGGACTAGGCTGACTGGTAGATGCATACCACTGGTGTTTCATATCCCCTGCCTCTAATGCAGGGTACTTACACACCTTTTCAAGTAGCCCAAGCAGTGTTTCTCAGTATATTCTCTATCAATCAAGTGGGACTGCTATATAAGGTAAACACTATTTATTATTCCTAGATCAAGAGGCAGGGTTTAGGGTAAGATACATATATATGTCTTAGATAAAGTATTCAGAAGGCTAAATATAATAGAATCTTAACAGTAGTAATTGTTGCAGCTACTACTGTTTAACAGTATAGGCACAGGTTTCTTGTACTGTTCCAATTAGGTTACATCTTTTCTGTGCCAGTCATAGACATGCTGATTTCCTAAGGTTTTGTAATGCTGGATTTTGAGAGTTTTCATGGCATGTTTGTAGGTTATTTGCTGCACTTTTTCTGGCCTCCACTCAGTATCAACAA